TTTTTTTTTTTTTTTGATTGATTGATGGATTGATCGATTGATTGATTGATCGGTGGGGAAGGGGTCGCCCTTCCCCACCAATCAAGCACACACACACACACACACACACACACACACACACACACGAAAAAATAAAATTTCTTTTTTTTATTGTTTTTTTAATTAAGATACTTAATTTTTGGTTTTCTATTTTTTTTAAATAAAAAACACTTAAAAAACAAAACAAAAATTACCGCGTTGTAGGTCTTTTCAAACCCTACAACCAGTTTTTTTTTTTTTTTTTTTGGCCTATTAGTTTGTTTTTTAAAAATGGGTGAAAATCTCGCTCACGGCCAACCGAGGGGCCGACCTCGGCGGTCGGGATCCTGACCGCTGGCCGAGATGGACCCCGCGGTCATGACCACGGGGGATACATAGGCGAGGGGGAGACGGCCGGGACCTCTGTGAAGGAATCAGGAGAAGATTCCACAAGGCGGTCATCTACTGGCCACAAATCGTGGTCGAACCACGCGAAGTCGAAATGGTTCGTCGACTGGTGTTGTGGAGACGCTTGCAACCTCGTTGCGTAGCCACGTGGTCCTGTAATCTCTGTCGATGACAACAAACGACGTAGAGTGCTTGGGGCAGTCTTGAGGTGGGAGGACGCAAAGGGGGGACGACGACGATTCTATATGGAAAAAGTTTACTACGCCAAGGGTAACGTCGTTGCCAATTCGAAGGGGGCGCTGTTGGATATGAAATTGTTCGAGGGGTTCGGAGCGGTTGTTGTGAACACCCCGTTCTACAGCGAACTCGTTCGCGCGGGCGGTTTTGTTTTGGCACGTGAAATTTTTAACATGTTGGGGAAAAAAACATCGTGGTCGACCTCCCCTGCTACGTCGGCCCCTCCCAAAGGCTCTCGTTGCCATTGCGACTGTGCAGCGGTTGCGAATCCAGCGGGGCGGCGCCGGAGGGGGGAGATCTGGGTTCTGGTGCTGCTACTCAGCTGCATCGTGGCGAGAGTTGTGGTCAGTTCAACGACAGCAAGGATGAGGAGCCTCCACAAATGACGACTTCGTCGTTGAGGCGAAGAGACCTGTTTGTGCTGTCTATAACTGGGGTCCAGAATGACGCTCCGGAACAAGAGGAGCGTGGGGCAGCTACATTAAAGGTGGCAGTCTCTTCAGAGGTCGACTTGGAGACTAGCGAGGGCCAGGTTATGGAGGAGGGAACCGCGGGCGGCCAGGGCACGCAAGGCACTCTGCAAAAGAGGAGGGGAGATCGTCATAACGAGTTGGCCGGCTCTTCGAAAAATTGAAGAGCACGGCCCCGAGGACTGCGGAGGAGAAACGGAAGGGAACTGAGAGGGAGCAGGGCCGGCCAGGTACCAAACGTCCGGCTTCGAAACAAACGCAGCCTGCGTCTGGACCGTCCTCTCCACCGAAGCCAAGGCCTCTCATCGACGTCGACGCCGGGTCCTTCCTCGAGTACAAAGACGGCGTTAGGACAAAGCGGGAGTTTGAGATTAGCCCTACGCAGGTCGTCGACCTCGGGGACTGGGAGGATCTGTACAACCAACGGTCCCAGGATCCCGTCCTCGTTGAAGGGATCAAAGAAGCGATTCTCTTGGCGTTCGAAAACAAAGTGCAGTCGTATGAGTTGCCAACCCTTAAGCTGGCACCGTTGGGGCTGCATAAACCAACTCCCGGGAACAAGGCACAATGTTTGAAGCCTGAGGAATAGAGGGACGAGTTGGTGGGACAATACTACTACTACGTGGTGTGTGGACAACACAACGCGGCTGCAGCCAGGTCGTTGCTCGGCAGCGATGTGGCCAAGAAATACAATTTCGCGCGGTGGCCGGCATGAATGGTGTACTTTTCAGGCGACAACTTAGAAGGGTATTTCCTTGTTAGTTCCCAGGACAACAAGAAGGACCTCAAGGCGCCACCATCGGCCCACCGAGACAGTTGAAGCTGTCAATGAAAGACATTCGGTGGCAGTGGAAGCACAACGGTTTCCCGAGAGCTTTCATGGGGAACCCCAGCGGAAAACAGGGACAGGTCCGGAAATGGCGTGAATTATGTATGGTGGTGCTCCATAAGACGTTGCACAACAACTTATGGATTATGACAGATCAGAAGGGGGATGACGCAATCAAGAAGCAAAACGTTGTCCTGCGCTCATATTTCCCTCTGGCTGTGGACGGAGAGAACGTTTGGAAACTGGCCGTTGAATTATTCGAGAGATGGGAGACAGGTAGATTGCTCGGCCACGACGGAGCAAAGTAGATCGTGAGGAAGAAGAAGGTCAGAAACGTAAAGCCCGTGGTTGCCTACATCGACAATGAAAAGCTATAAAGGAAGGAGGTCGTGTACAACGTCCTTGTGGACCCGCCGTGGAGGAAATGCAAAAAAGAGAAAGAGGAGGGCGACTGGTTCGTGCAAGTGCCTGAGCCGGACACACATTGTTGGAAAGCGATGGAATCGCTAACCGACAACGAGAAGTGTCGCGTCCTGAAGAAGGTGCTCGCTTGCGAGGTGGTCTGGGTCCAAGCCGGCTCCCCGGCGTTGGCGAAGCTGGGGAAGCTCAGCGTGCAGGATATGGTGTATTTGGTGAAGTGCGACCACGTGCTCGTACGTTTGTGTAATTACTACCTGTTCAAACACGAGAGGACGCCGGATGCGGATTGGATCCAGAGGTACCCGTTCCTGAAAACAAGGGCCACAATTTTCAAGCAGTTCGAAAGTCGTGGATTGGATGCTAAGTTGTGGGACGGTAGCAGGAAATAAGTTACTGACTCGTCGTTGTTCAAGGAGTGTCCGCGTTACATGGGTTGTGACGACGACCACTCCATTGAGGCGACGAAGAAGTTGGCCGGTCACATGAAGCTGACCATCGACTGGAGAACTAAGGTTCTCTTCGCGTTAACAAGCAGTAGACTGACTCAGAAGAGTCGCGAGATTGCTCTTGCCGAAGGCATTGTGAGCATAAAATGGAAAGACATGGGCGACGTGACATCCATCGCACCGTTCGGCAATGACCCCTTGGAGGCGGACATCAGGAGTGAGGAGCTAAAGGAGGCGGTGGCTGCGACAAAGAGCCACACGTTCGTCCTCGGCCTCTGCGAAGTGGTTGATCTGAAGATGTGGAAACCACAAGCGTTCGATACTCTGGATTCCCAACTTCAGACGTGGTGTCCGTCACATTGGACGCTCGTCGTTTTCATGCCGCGGCAGCATAACCTCTCGTTTAAGGCCAGCATGAACCATCTTTCTTTCGAGAAGCTGCTGGAAGGTAAGTGGGTGAGGAGAACTCAACAGAAGAAAATTTTCCCCGTCGGGAACAATTTATACACAGAAAACGACCGGATTTACATCCTCTTCAAGGGTGACGCTTTGCGCGCTAACACATTCCACGGTGTTTTCGTTAAAAGTGAAATTGTTTTCATGTTCACTTTTTATTTTAATTGTAAAATAACACAAAGAACTGAGGGAGAAATAAGCAAACAACGAGAAAACAATTGTTATACATGAAAGTTGTTGAAGGAAATAAAACACAAACTTTCACCTTGAATGTTCACACGTACACATGTTGCAAACATGTCACTCAAGGATTGACAATCCACTCAGTAAACATGTCACTCAGTAAAACACTCCAACCTCATCAACAACTGATGAGAAGTTTAGGAAATGTCATTATACAATATATTTTCAAAATTGCCTACAATACACATTTTCACCCGGAATGTTCACACTAAGTAAACATATCAACCTCATTTTTCCAAACCTAGAACCTGAAATTCTCATTGACTTAATTGCCTACAATTCACATTTTCACTCGGAATGTTCACACAAAGTAAACATGTCAACCTCATTTTTCCAAACCTAGAACCTGAAATTCTTATTGACTTTCCTATCTAACCATGGACAAAATGTCAAATGCTATTCTAAGTCTCATATCAGGAATACTATCTTGTGAGAAACCGAACGGAGGGAAGTGACCTTTTGCAAGCAAAGATGCAAAACCTAACATAAAAACACCACAACTAGAAGAATCCTCTTGAGCAGGAATCCCATCTACTGATATATCAAAGTAGGATGTAGGCTCCTCTACATGATATTTTTCCCAAAGATTTTGTCGAAGAAACTGCACTCTGAAAAAACCTGCCAAAAGTTCGAGGGTTGGACCGTAGTCAACACGATGGAGAGAGTCTACGAGGTAGAATTTATACTCAGAGCGATCTATACTGACATACGCTAAGGTCCAATAATTTTCGAAATGGAGAGGGATAATTACCAAATCAAAATTGAAAAGATTTATGTCCTTCACCCATTTCGTCCCTTCGGAGTATGCGATTTCAGCGGAGTGAGCTTTTGACGACCCGGGAAAGAAAAAAAAAATTAGAATATACATAGATGGAATGTTACAAGAACTTCCATCTTTTGCCACTTCTGCAAATGTCGAATCCACCTTCTTGATGTAGTCATTGGTGATCTGACCGGCTAGCAGGTACAAATTGACGACTTCATCATTTAACCATTTCCCATCCTTGGCGGCGAGCATGACGTCTTTCTTTTCCATCTTTCACCTCCCCTTGTAATCGACAATGCCATATTCTTCATTCTCTTTAGTGTTGCCGGTAATCATTTCAAGATACTCCTTTTCTTCTACAGTAAGGCATACTGTTGCTAAAGGAATCTGGAACGAAGGGTTATGCACTGCATACAAACACACATATAAACAACAATAGAGCAACTAAGACTTTACATAAAAATAAGTGATAAACTACATAGATATGAGTTCATGTTGTTGGTTGTCTATCTGTTTCGTCATAAGTGCTGTTATCCATAACAGATAAACTGCAACCTGCGCGATGCAATTTCTTCCCTTCTGTGAGGCTTATTCCAACAGCTTTAAGCATCCTTAAGGTAGCTGGCTTCACAGATGGAAATGTCATGGGTGTACGACTTCTTCTCTCATTTTTTGGGAATAACGGCAAAGTTCACAAAGCTTGCAAGCCACAGCGAATGATATTATTTTCTCTCTTCCTTTGCAAGTATACATGTGTCGTTTTCCACCGTTCTTTTCGTCGCCCTGCATGATTGACAAGATAAAAACATAATGAGTTACAAGTCCGACCTTTCCGTTGTTGAAACTCACTCATGAATACCAATACAAAATATATGGCAATTGCACTAAGTGTTCATACAAAACAATTGCAGTATTTCTCTTCAGAAAACGCACAGTTCCAAAGCTAGGTAAATAAACAATACATCTTAGGGATCGACAAAATGGAAGATGAGTGCATGTGATGTACCCACTAGTCCGCATATAGTATTAGATATTCCTCCTAAGATAAGAAAGTGCTCACCTCGATGGTTAACTCTCAGTTTTTCTTCAACACGACCTTTTGTCACACCTTCCATATGGAATGGCGCAATGGGAGATTCTTCGATAGCTATCATGAGGTTAGCAGACTGTGGTGTTTGAGGTTGTTCAAGCGTTTGTTGAGGTTGTACAAGTAGACCTTGCTCCGGTGTACTTAGTATTATATGTCCTTCATCTTCTTCGATGCCCTGTACATGGAGAGTTTCTTCCTCCTCTACGCCCTCAAAAGTGCCCTGGAAAGTGCCGCTTACTTCGGCTGGCATCGTCGACGACGGCATCTGCAATTCCGTGAGTGTACCAGTAATATCCACTTCCATAGCGACATTGTCGCCCACTAGTATCGTAGTTGCCCAAACTTGGTCAGCTGTACTCACGCCCTCGCAACTCACACCGCCTTTTTGTCCCGAAGTTTTGGCACTCGCACCGGCAATCGATCCCCATTGCTGTGTCAGGTTGGAGTCAACCACGATTGTCTCCGCTCGGTCAAGACGGGAGCGCTCCAATAGTGGACCCCTGTCGTGTTCGACTCGACCGTCGTGTGACCCTTCGACAGGTGAAACAACGTCGATTGGTCCCGAAGCCTTGCCACTTGTACTGGCGATTGATCCCGATCCCACTGTCGGGTTCAACTCGACGGTGAGTTTTTTTGCTTGGTCAAGCCGCGAGCGCTCGAATGCTGGACGAGAGTCGTGTTCAACACGACCGTGTGACCCTTTGACAGGTGAAGCACCGCCGACAGTTGTACTGCCCCCCCTTGGTCCCGAAGCCTTGCCATTTGCACCGGCGATCGTTCCCAATCCCATTGTCGGGTTCGACTCGACCATGAGTTTCTCCGATTGGTCAAGCCGGGAATGCTCCAATGCGAGGTCACTATCGTGTTCGACTCGACCGTTGTTAACCGGTAGAAGTTATCTGCCGGCACGCCGTCCAAACCCTATACCTCGCGCCGCGTCTGTCACCCGCGGGAGGGTTGGTCGGGGCTCCTTAACTTGCAAAAAATCAACCTCGTTTGTATCACCAAAAATACGCTAGCACTGCAATGTAAGGTGGGAAACTGCTGACGACGAGACAAATCGTAGAAATGATCAAACTGAGTGTTTTGGTTTAATTCAGAACATTATGATAGTTCGCACTGCGACGAGGGCCCCGGGCCTCGTCCATAGTACGAATCTGTAATATTCGTTTGAGTCTCAACGGAACCCGGCCCCATCATGAAACAGGCTTGATACGGCAAATAGGCTCTACGCTTGTCGGAGAGGCGATACCTTGGTTCACCTGGGCGCGCGGGCCTAGACCTTGTCTGGTCTGGTCTGGCCTGTTTCTCTCTGATTCTGTCCGATTCTGGTCTGGTTTGAACTGACCCGTTCTGGCCCTGTCTGGTCTGGTCTGGTCCGGTCGGACTGATCTGGTCTAGTCTGAACCAGTTTGGTCTGGTCTGTGCCCGGCCTGGTCTGATCTGATCTGATCTGGTCCGCTCTTATATGGTCTGATCTTGTCTGATCTGGCCCAGCCCGGTCTGATACGACCTTGTCGGCCTAGTCTGTGCCAGAACTGGTCTGATCTGGGACCGCCTGATTCTGGCCCTGTTTGATCCCACCCGATCTGGTCTGATCGGGTCTGTTGTGATGCCGTCTAGTCTGATGTGAACCGGTCTGTTCAAGTCCAGTGTGGTCTGGTCTGGCCGGGTCTGTCCTATTCTGGTCTGGTCTCGTCCGGTCTGAACTGGTCCGGTCCGGATCCTGTCTGTTTTGGTCCGGTCTGACTGGCCCGGTCTTGTCTGATCCAGTCTGTTCCTGGTCCAGGCTGGTCTCTTCTGATCTGTCTGAGTCTGATCCACCCGATCTCATCTGAGCCCGGTCTGATCTGAACTGGTCTATACAGATCTGAATCTGAACTGGGTCCGAACTGGTCTGTTCCAGGCCCCGCGTGGTCTGCTCTGTTCCGGGCCCCGTCTGGTATGAGCTGATCTGTCCCGGGTCTATTCAGTTCCGGGCGTGGTCTGTTCTAATTCGGGTTCGATCTGTTCTGATCCGTTCCGACCTGGTCTGTTCAGATCTGGGCCCGGTCTGGTCTGTCCCGACGAATGTGTGGGGCTAGGTTCGCCCGCCAGCTCGGCACTCTTCCCCCCCATTCGCTCCTCTCTCACTTTCTCTCACTCCCTCGCTCTCTCGGTCACGCCCATGTGCTCGCGCTCGTGCACGCACTTATGGTTTTCACTAATTAGATGACAAAGCATTTGGCTAGCTTAAGGGTTATAGTTACTCCCATTGATTCCCCCTGTGATCTGTCGATCTGTCGACATCTGTTGGGACCATCGCATTAGAGTCAAGCTCAACAGGGTCTTCTTTCCTGACGGATTTTTCCAAGCTCGTTTCCTTCGGCCGTAGTTTCGCACAATGGTAGGTAAGGACAACGGGAATCTCGTAAATCCTTTCAGGTGCGTCACTAGTTAGATGATGTGGCATTCCCGCTGATTCTTCCAAGCTCGTTCCTTTGGCTGTGATTTCACGGGATGCTAGATCGGAACAATGAGAATCTCGTAGATCCATTCATGCGCATCACTAAAATCTCGTTCCCTCAGTTGTGATTTCGCAGGATGGTAGATAGGGACAGAGGAATCTCGTTAATCCATTTTTGCTCGTCACTAATTAGATCATGAGGCATTTGGCCTCTTTCACCACTGATTCTTCCCACGCTTGTAGATAGGGACAATGGAAATCTCGTTGATCCATTCTTGCGCATCACTAATTAGATGACGAGGCATTTGGCTACCTTAAGAGAGTCATAGATACTCCCGCCACTTACCCGCGCTTGATTGGATCTTTTCACTTTGGCATTCAGAGCACCACACGCGTCTCTCTCTCTCTCTCTCTCTCTCTCTCTCTCTCTCTCTCTCTCTCTCTCTCTCTCTCTCTCTCTCTCTCTCTCTCTCTGCTTCGCGCGCGCGCTCGCGCGCAGCAACTCAATGGCGTGCAGCTCACCCCGGTGCAACACTTTCCCGCGCGCAGCAGTTCAATCCCGTCGCGCGCAGCTCGCTACCGCCGTGCGCAGCTCCGTTGTGTTGAGCAGCTGTCCGCGCGGCTTCCGTTCCCGACTGCAAGTTCAAGCGCTACCACTCTCACTCTCTCCCGCGCGCTTTCTCTCACCTTCTCCCGCGTAATGCAAAAGTGCGCTGGCAGGATCTGTCCGCGCGGCCGTGCGCAACTTTCTATCCGCTCACGGCAGCTCCCCCTCCGCGCGCAGTCCGTTCTTTCCCACGCAATCCTTCAACCCTCCCTCATACTCTCTCCTCTCTTTCTTACTCCCCCCTTCTCTCTCTCTCTCTCTCTCTCTCTCTCTCTCTCTCTCTCTCTCTCTCTCTCTCTCTCTCTCTCGTGCGCAGTTCCACGCTCTCGCGGCCTCCCTGCCTTCCTACGTCACCTGTCTCCATCCGCATCTAGCTAGGATCGATCTGCGCGGCTCTTCTCTTCCGTGCGCAGCCTCCTATTCGTGTGCAACGACTCCGCTCAGTCTCCTCTCCGTGCAACACGTTCTCCCCCGACGCAGCTTTTCCCGCCTCACGGCTTTCCGCGGAGTCCCCCACGCCACTTCCTGCGCAGTGGCTCCTTCTCTCACTCTCTTTCTCTCTCGTCTCTGTGCGCACGGGTTTCCCGAGAATGAGCCCTCTTGGGCTTATAAAGTTTGCTGGTCCCGCGGTACCAGCTCCCAGCAGCCCGCTCTCACCCGCCGTTGGCCGATCCGTGTCGGGAACTTTGCAGCGCCCTGGTACCGGGCCTATGCCCGAGCCTGTTTGGGCCCCGGAAAGGTCTTTGTCGAGGAGAGCCTTTTTGTCGGGAACCGGGCCTTTTGCAACGCCCCGGTACTGAACCTATTTCCGAACCTGCCCTGGGCCTATCTCGGCCTTGGTGGTCCCCACTCATAAGTGGTACCAGCCCCCCTTGTGAAAGTCACGCAGGCCCGCTCAAAACTTTAGGCCGGGAGGTCCATTTCCGAGCCCTAGATTACACTGCCCTTGGCACAATATACTCATGTCAAATCCTTGGGAGTAGAATGTAGTATTCTCATTATTTTTGCATCAAGAAGCAATTATCATTAGAAAACTTTATTGAACACAACATAACTATTGTCTATCATAACAGCTACCATAAGTTTTTCGTCATCACTATGAATGCATATGCCAGTTAAACTTGTCTCTATGCTCGTTAATACTATTTTCTTACTCAATTATTAAAAATGTTGATTATTATTATCACTATGGCAGTATGTCTGTACTATAAGTAACAATTATTATGATAATTTATGACATTCAATATTCAAAAATCACGAATGCATTATTATCGCAGTATAATATCATCTGTTTTTTAATGGTCTTAGATGTTGGAAATGAGCAATGTTAGTAAGGTATTGTTTGAAGATTACCTTTCAAAAGGGCAATTGTGAAAAGAAAGGATTTTCGATAGTGATAGAAAAGGTTTGTTGGACATTTGTGAGCAGAACCTAGAAGTAACTCAAGAAGGTCAGAAACCCGTATGCTAAGGAAGACCCCAGCGTAGCCTTGTCTATTGAAAAAAAGGATGGGTTGGAGTTGTCCTTGTCAATTTAGTTAGGGAGGATAAATATATTGGTTCCTGGGGGGATACGTCCTTAAATAAGGGTATTCTTATTTTTGGAGTGAGTCTGGCTTCAACAATGATAAGGATAGTGCAATGACCCTGTACACCTCGTCATCTTTTTGGATTACTTTTGGTATCGAGTTGACATTGAAACGTGAAAACCTACTCACAAAATTATTATGACTAACTGAAGTGGCTGTTGCGAAGTGGGTAAAAGAAATGTTTCAGAAAAGAGATGAGTCGGTATCCATTGTTAATGAGGTCAGGGGTGCAGATAAGTTTGTGTTCCCCTCATTCCCGTTGCGAGTCGTTCTACCCGGGTTCCTTGTGAAAGAATATTTCAGGGGATGAGAGAAAAATAAAGACATAACTTAATGCCTCATTTAAGAAGGTGTTTTTGACAGATTTGGGAACCTTATTAACCCAAATAGACCTGGAGGGACGAGACGGAAAGCCTTACAACGGGAGCGCGAATGGTGGACAAAGGCAACAACATGTATCAGTGACAGAGAATCGTGAGGTCATTGGATGACAACATCGTTAAGAAGTCACGATTACCAGATATAAAAATATTTTTCCTTTAAGAGGGGGTAACAGCAAGATGACTATTGAAAGAAGGAATGAGGAAGGTGTGCAGAAAGGAAAGCAAATTGGGTGAAAAGATTTTATTCACTGAAGCATGATATATGACAAGTAGGGAAGGAAGTGGAATAGAATAAAGAAGGAATGACAATGATTTAAACAAAGTTTTCTGATATCGGTGAAAGAAACGGTGGAGTCCAACCAGATAATTGAATGAGAGAAGAAGCATGGATCTGAAACTTATAGGTATTGTTGAAACACTCCTTGTGTAAGGACAGGAAAAGAGCGACAATTCAGCAAGGGGAAATGTCGAAAGATGGTGGAGAAAAGGTAGGAGTGAAGGTGAACAGGACACTAAGCCTATTACCTCAAGGTGTCTTTGAAGCCATTGAGGCACTGACTTCAAAAGTGGTTGGACAGATTATTCGAAGTCTACACAGA